CGAAAAATCAAGCTGCCTACTTCTCCCACACCCTTGATCAAATTTCCGAAAATATTAGTGTACTCTAACTCTTCAAAACTCACGTATCATCAAACGATGGTGCTTTACGTACTATTTACTTCATGCTCTTGGGGGATCAAGCGTCAATCCTCATAGGGTCCAGTTCTTCCGGTTCGATTCGCGTGACGATCCCTCTTGAATGTCGTTCGCGTTTTTCGTCCGTCCGTGTGGATGTACTAGTGCTACGATAGTTGTGTAAGGAAGAGGGATTCTGCGAACTTTGGTCGGTTTGGGATTTCCGGCCCTCTTTTTGCTAATAGTTCTACTTGCATTGAAAATTACAAACAGTCAATGTTTGTGAAATCGGCTTATCTAAGAAGGCTTGCCGGGTCCATACCCTCGATTCTACTCATCCTATGATGCTTGGTAATTTCCACTGCCTCGGCTATCAGCCTCTATGGTGTGAATCGCAGTCTCAGTCTGAAAGCTTTCACGTTTTCCAGATTGTCTAACGCATATGCCACCATCAATGAGTCTGACCAGCGTTTGGTACCATTTCTCATTCCTTGGTGGTTTGCTTATTCTCCACCAGTTCTGTGTGCAATTTTCCCTGTCAGTTTTTCCCATGTAAACCTTAGTGCAATCGCTACAGTTAACATTTTTTACAAACAGTCCCTAGCCCTTTCAACCGGGAGGGGGTGTTTCAGCTGTACCAAGACTGAGCGTGACATTTTTCCCCTCTGGAAAGCTACTCGGGTGTTGGCTATGTTCATCATGCTTTATATGGAATGATTGCTGTACAAATCCATTTCTTGCTTGGTCTGGATACTGGAGCAAATATCCTCCTCAATTGCCGCCTAACCAAACTCACTGGGCATCCTGACTCTTGAAGTTTGTTGGCAATCTCGATTTGAGCTGCCGTTCGGTCGATCTCTTCCGTGCACAGCGCTATGACTCGACGAAACATCGATGAGGCAATACTGGCGTACACTGACTTTGGATATGCTGATAAGTAGCTTAAGATGGTTCCTGTGTCTGTTGGTTTCGGGTAGATAGTAGATATTAATTTCCCACCAGTCCAGAAAGGGTAACGTGCCCGAGTTGGACTCTATCTTCATGATAACTTGATGTGAGGATTCAAACTATTGGGATAGTCGTGGAAGCAGTGCACGTTATCACGTTTGACTACAACAAAGGTTTCGTCAGCATAACGATAAAAACCTTTCGGTGGACAATGATATCTGGCCAAGGCCAGTTGTTCAAAGTCCTCCACATAAATATTGGATAAAACTGGGGGTATTGGAGACCCAATTGCAAGACCTTGTTATTGTGAGTGAACAGTTGTGTCGAAAACTAACCGAACGAGATTCAAACACACTCTTATGATCTCAAGTATTTCACCCTCAAGAGCTATGTCAGTTCTTTAAGTGTCGTGCCTGCGAGCAACAACCTCTCAGTTACCTTCAAAGTATTCGCCCTAGGAATGCTTGTGTACATGGAGATTTCGTCCAGACTCACGAGAACTTCGTCCATCTCCAAAGGAAGTCCTTTTACCTTATTGGCAAGGTTGTACGAATTCCTAATGAAGGTGCTTGATTTCCCCGCGAGTTATTTTATTATATCAGCTAAGAATCTGGCTAACTCATATGGTGACAAGCCTATACTATCCACTACTGGCCTTATCGGAACATCTGCATTGTGGACGTTTGGCAGTCCGTAGAGTCATGTTTGAATCGTATTTTTTGGGTACAGACTATTCGACTTGCCTTACCATAAATGGCTTATTACGGATTTTGCATATCTATTAACTTCAACCTTACTCTCATTCATTATCGAAGTAATACTGCCTGTATCGTCTATTACGTGACACTTGAACTTCTCCACGTTTATTCTGTCCCCATTTGCAACTTTGTGTTTAGTGCGTGTATATGAACTGTCGTTTGTTCGTCCTTACCACTTCACTCATTTGGCCCTGAGGTCATCCGGCTATTTGTGGCCGACTTTGCGCACATGTGTCTGCCTCACATGGGAGCCTGTTTGTTCCTTTGGTTTGTACTATTGCAGTTCAAGTGGACCGTTTGTTTTGGACGAGTATCTACTGTTAGTATAATTTGCGAGTTTGTCTTGCGTTAATAGTACCGTATAGAAACCCAGCTCCGACTTTGTTTTGCATTCCCGGAGGTTCTGGTATTACGCGTCACTCAATACTATCTACCTGTCGCAGTGTGTTTAACGCTCTCCGTTCCGATGGTGCAATATTCGGAGCTCCATGCTGTTGTGATTTTAGGACCGTGAACAATTGTACCTGTTTCTTTTCGGCCTTCGCTGAAGGAAGCTGTAGAAACATGGATTTGACCGTAAGACTTATTCCCTCCGCCGTTATTACTTCTCGCTCATGGCGATAGTTCCTTTTCTAACAACCAGCGTTCGTCTTTACTCAGTGGTCTCTCTGACGAATTAATTACATTAAGTTACTTGATGGGTGGTTTCATTATTTCTGTGACCTTCCTAGAGCCCTGAGTCATGGAAAGCAGTTGGTCGAACTAACGTATCTGACTACCTACATTACGAGCCCGCCTAGGTTCCATTTTCGTAGCTCTGTTGTTGAGCATCTGTGAGTCGGTGGTTGAAGTTGCGGTCTGAATATCGTAATTAAGTAGACTAACGTGGTGGTGTACATTGCTTAATCGGTAAATTCTCTGTTTGGAGAATGACTTGGCCGCTGACAAAGATATTTTAGCAGAGGCAACAAACGTATCCTGGGATAATATTTTGCTTTAAACCCCTAATGTTGAATATTCGGTGGTTCTCCCATTTTCCCATAGTCCCACCAATCGAACGTACTCGCTTGACATTTTTCGAGAGTAACAAAGACAAAGGATACAAAGTATACTCTAGAGTCCCACCAAACGTACTCGCTTGACATTTTTCGAGAGTAACAAAGACAAAGGATACAAAGTATACTCTAGAGAATTCCACGGTGCATCGATCACACGACGAGAGTCAGGAAGGCTGACTGGTTATCGATCATTCGGAACAAGGGTGCAACAAACCAATCAAAATAGCCGCCCGGTCTGACAACCACTCATAATCAATTATTAGCTCCAGCTGACAGCGCCTTTTTTAACACAGCCCCAACTTGACTCAAAACACAAATTGTGATCTGCTGCCAAGCTCATCTTCTTAATGGCACCCTCAGAAGGTCACATCGATTTATGAAGAACGGTTTTCAACCAAATTGCCTTTGTAACTTAGTTCAAAGGACAAACTGACAATCTGGCATAGTCGGTCTCAGGGCTTTGAAAAGGTTTTACACAACCCGTTCTATCAACTCCTAAAATCATAGGTCGTGACGTGTCAACGCATTAACTCACGTTGTTGACTCGTTAATTAGACGGAAACTTATCCAAGCACTCTCAAAACGGTGAAAGAACGGAATATCTTCCAATAGGATCTTCAACAGGATGAAGATCACATAAAATATGCGTTGGCTTGCTTTGGAATGGGGTTTTGTCCTCCGCGATTTGAATGGCACCAAATCATCACAAAGCGGAAAAGAACAGCAAGAAGAAAGAAGAAAGGTAACCAGCATAAAGACTAAACCAATATCCTCCCTTCATTTTCTAGCGATGAACTGCCCGTCAACATTTTTAAGGACCAATTTTCGCAAGCAAGGAAGCAGTTCCGAATACAGTGTTTTAAAATCATGTTCCTATTAAATTCTGTTGAAAAAAATCAGTTTTCACTTTCATTTATTCAACTTTTGTCGTATCACCACAAGTGGACCAAGGAAAAGGCCTCGGTTCGCTCCTGGAAAATTTCGCTTCATTACTGTACGAACAGTGGTCCTGTGCACCATTTCGAAGTCTGTACTGTTTGTTTGACTGAGACTGGTGTAACTTCTCATTGGTTCATTCGTGGCTGGCGTCAGCCAGGCGGTTTGCATGCCGAGCTGCGATTGGTCATTCACGTCGTATGCTAAACCTTGCTCACTGGATAATCTTGGCCTAATTGAACCTCCAGCTGTAGTTTGTGAAATACCGCGATGATTGTTCGACATATCCGGAGCCGAATTCGCACAGTTGCCTGTTAACCGTGTTTATCTCTCACTTGCCTTGTCGCTGCTGGCTTCCCATCGTTTCCAACCCCGAAAACATGTTTTGCCTCGAGCTCTGATTGCTCATTGGAGGTTATTTTGAATTCCGATTGCACTGTTTTATTATAAGTGATCGAATCTTGAGGTGTGCTTCCACATCCTTTCATATATAAAATTAGTTGGGCCAAGGCTTTTATTTTGAGGGCTTGTTTGAGGCACCAGTCCTCCTACCGAATTTCACACGATTTGTTCTTTATTCAAATCACATAGTCTATACATCTATTTATGAGATGTTATGCGGAACAGAAGATTTCCTTCGTGTGATCAGCGTGGAAGTGTTCGGAAAACAATAAATCTGATCTCACGCGATCGGAATCACTGGTAGCTTCGATGTAGTTGTTGCGTCAGATGGTACGCAGATATTCCAGTTAAAAAGGGGAATCACCTTCGACAGGAGAACATTTGGGGAAATTACGCCTTTCTCCCTATCTTGTCCTGCTCCCCAGATTCTCACTTACAATTCGAAAATCACCTGTTCCATCACCGTGGCGCTCTGCCACAAGTACAGAAGCAGGCTGATACAGAGAAAATCAAACGGACACCGGTTGATGAATGTAAAATATGACCCAAAATGACCAAACATCGATGCTGAACGAAGCGGAACATATGGTCCGGAAGAACATAAGTGATTGGCCGGTTCACATCAACCCTCTGTCATGGTGTGTGGTGGTGATGCACATGTGCACATGCGAATATGTATGATTACACGCGTGTTGTAAGCATTCGTGTGGCAACGTATTCATTCATCCACTTCACTCACAGGTGTGCGCGAACAGTTGGTGCATTAGTGCCCTGCTCGTGGATAACACCTTGTCTAACAACGGTGTGCATTTCAAAAGCAAATGGAAGCCGGATCCGGCAACAAGGCCTGTATTCACATTCAGTCTTCTCCGCCGAATGATTTCGCCCCAAAATTCATGATTCCTGCAACTCAGAGCTCTTACCCATCAGATTCGGATTGCGCTACATTTCGCTCCATTTCACGATTAAGCCACAGTGACGATAAAAGTCACATTTCATCCAAACTTGAACACTGTTCTGCAGCTTTCATTCGACAGAGAGAACCGAGCAATAATGGCATCCGAGCGCATTCCAGAAGACACTTTTCATTCATTTATCCACTCTCTCATTTACTGATATTCGTGACTTTATTGTCCTCATACATTTTCGTTGGCAATGGGTCGCCCGCAGCAAAATACCTGGCCACTGTAGACAAACTGTTGCCACAAACGCAGCCAAATCTAACTGTAAACGATTTCATCCCCCAGTACATGTCTGAAGAGTACAAGAATGGACTAAGTTATTCCTACGAACCGCATCAGTTGGACTTTAACAAGCGGATTTATCGATCAGATGGCAGAAGAAAGCGACGACATAATAGGATATATCAGGATTCATATAGACAGGTAAGTTATCGATCGCCCTGAAGTAAACACTTAATAAACTAAAACTAATTCTGTCAAACGATAATTGACAGCCCGCCTATTATTGACTGATACTTCAGATTATTTCATAACTGCTTATCTAACATAAGCTCAACTCATCTCCATGAATGTCTAGCAAACATGACTTGTACAATACCGGGCACATCCTATGAAGTAGAATTATATACTGCCTAGTATTAATAATACAGAGAATTCTAGTACAACATTGGGTGAGCACATTCACGCGACAGCGGAGACCTATGAGGACGGCCTGAAATTTGTCCGACTCGGTTCTTCTTGGCTTCAACCAAATTAAAACCGAGTGAACTGGACTTAAGAACAGTTCGGATTATTCAATGAAAGTCAAAATCTGGAGCAAATTGACAGAAAAGAATGTTTCAATCAATTCCTGTGCAGTGTAAAAACAGCTGGGACTTCAAGAATACGTCTGACATATCTTATCCTTTAATACCTTGGAGAGGTAGTGAATTACTTGTGCATGCTTGTCAGCACGCCGACCGACTGTACCGGCAGTTCGGTCAAAGTCCGCAAGGCTTCGGAGTTGCCAGACCGCAAGTAGTTTAATAGCGTTTATTGGTTTTCTAAACAGCGGTTGATCTTACGTAGCACACACATGGTAAGAGAGCCCAGACGGTTGTGTGAAAGCTTCCAATTTTACGAAAACCGTTGGTCCACGGACAGGAAACTTGGGCTACAAATGTGTTGATGTTCCGGCAGAAAGTATGCACCCAAACGCAGCAAATGAAAGAACCAATCCACAAATGTAAACACGATTTGGCAACAAAAGGAAGAGGCTGTGGTCAGAGCTTACGTTTAAATAGTGATGATGGTGATGATGATTCTAATAATGAAATGAAATAACTTGTGGTGGCATTCAGATGCGACATACGAAACCCAGCGGTTCTACAGGAGAACCCAACATCATGACGTTTAAAGATGCAGGTACAGTGAAGTCAAAGTCTACCTTGGATGGCTTTTGTAGTTACTGGACCTATATGAAAGTGAATCGCTTGACATTAATGCCGGTACTTTTTGGACAAAGTGGTCCCCCTGCTGATGGAAATCACTTTCTGGTTTACACGGTAATTGAAAACCAGTGGGCATATCACTAACCTCTAATCTCTGAAACATCATTTATGTCTAAAAAGTTTACTTCTGAAACCATATTAAAGGTAGACAAGTTTTGAACAGTTTGAACACTGTTGTTCAGTCTCTATGGTGTTAGTATAACAATTTGGTTACTAAAACAATATGCCCACAAAAGCTTTGGTGAATAATACTTATTTCAATAACTTCCCTCCGCCCCCATGATTCTTCCAAATTCTGCCATTCACTGATCACTCATACAGGCTTCAAAATGGTATGCGCAGTTTAGTTCCGACGAGACAGTTCGGAATTGATAAAAAGTGGATATAGCATAGCTGAAAACAAAGGGGAGTGTTCTGTTTTTTTTTAAAAAAAAGAGGATTTTGGAAATCTGGAACTGATGGCTCTGATGAAAGCTGCTACATATTGCATTTGTTTCTTCTCATTCTAATAGCTGGATATTTCCCTCGGTAACGTTATTCTAAGGGTTTCTGTCACCCGCTTGAAATCAACTCGTTAGATCAATCAATCATTTGAACTAGTGGAATTATACAACTCCGATGGAATGAAGCTTTTTTGAAATTTTTAGCGAATAAGAATCTCACTTTCACTTCGAAAATCGAGAGTTGTGCCTCATCGCGAACAAAATGTGCGTACATTAAAAAGAGATGTCTTAAGAAGAGCACCGTTATAGATTTTAGTTTCTCTGTATAACTATCTGCATAAAACAAAACGTAAACGCTCTATGCCCATTTCCAACAACCCAACCTCCGGTTTGTTTGTCTGGTATGTCACAATGACAAAAGTTAGGTGATTGAATGCCGAACTTGCACAAAGCCACCGTACCAACGAGAAGCGTACAATTTTGGCCTGTTCCGACTACGTCTTCTTCGGTAGGGTGGCTGAAAATCATACCACACTTTGAGTCTACTCTGTAGGCCCTGCTGAGTTACTCGCCCCCATGAAACGTAAATTCAACTTGTTTTTCGAACTATACTATCAAATGAAGACATATATTCAGCTCATGTGAACCGATGGGTGTAGTTACGTTATGGAATTGTGTAATCAGCATATGGCATGTCCTGGGTCTGTGGTTCCATAAAATTTAAACATATTGAAGTACAACGTGTTTTGTATGCTTATAGATCGAGTTTAAAACCAATGGTACTCGTCTGCTCTCTAAAACACGTTCGTCGTCACCCACCGTGAGGAAGGTTCCCATTTGGAATTTCGGTCTCAGGTTTTGGTGTTCAACCTGATCAAAACTTAGCTGGATCTGAATTTTCTAGCTTTGAGCCATTCAGAACAAAGAGCTGGACAAAAAATAACCACTAATTCCATGCAAGTATAAGGATTCCGGGTGCTACAGAGGGGGTTCCGTTGTGTTTATAACATAATAATTTGATATCACGGCCTTGTGTGAAGCATATTACCCTCTCACCGAATGGATTTGAATCGCTAAAAATGTAGACTTTAAAAGCTCATAAAAATGAACTGATTTGAACCCTTGCATTTCTAAATCTATATTGTCTCTATTGGTAGAACATGAGTATAAGACAACTGACAAATTTAATGCTCCAATCTACAAGCCCGGTCTCAAGACTCAGAAAATCCTATTTCTGATACGGTGTCGTTTGGTTGAACCAGGTCTAACGCATCGGAATTGATACCAAGCATAAAATTATCTTAAAATATCAACCAAGTTGCCGACACACATTTCACATCACGAGCATTTTATGTTAATTCGCAGTCTTGGATTGTAAATGTGGCAAATTTAAGATTCTATAATGTGCTACCTAGAGGCGTTCACCATTGTTGGCAGATCGGATTGTACACAAAGCCCATCATCGTCACATAATTAGTTACAAAATTCCTCCAGCTAGTCTAGGGCCCACATGAACCGGAAACATGCAAAGCAGAAAAGGAATAAACTATGGCTAGGTGGTGTTCGGCTGTCTAGTGCAACCACTAACCTGGTGATGACGGTGCTTGTATTTGGACGTAATTTGCATATCTCGTCAGTCATATCGATTGCTACAAAAGAGAAATTTGTGAACAACCTGGTCTCATTGTATTGGACAAGAGTGACTGGGAGCCAGGGTGAGCGGGGCTATCGCACAAGTTTGAACCAAGTGAATACACACGTGGTTGCTACTACGTAGGTACAGTCCATAAATTCGGTTCGATTAATACCAACGAGGGTGGTAAACCCAAAAACACTCAAATGTCGTAGTTACCATTGCGGCTTTTCGATGAAGATGATGAAACTCTTCGCTGAATCGAGACCACGAAGTTCGTCGTGGCAAAGTGAGAACGAATAATTCCAAGACCAAGTGTCAATAAAATATTTTGAGACAGTAGGGGCTAAATCAAACTGTCGAAACGAAATGTAGGTAGAAAAAGGCAAAAATTTTGCGTTTCATCCAGAATAATCAACCTTCGAATCGTTAACACTGTGAAAAAACTCAACAGATTTCCCCGGCCCAGTGTAAGCCAAATGTGAATGAATTAGGGATCCGCCGAACAAGGCACATCTATAAAAGTACAAAAAATGTAAAACACAAACCTTTTTGGTGCAATCACCAAATCAGAGTAAACTTACGAGTGCATTTCACAATGCTGGTTAAATTTGTGGCTTTGCTCAGTTGATGAAACCAAAGGTGTGTCCACGCACACACTTTCGTTGGTTAAGTGTAGCAAACCATTCTCGTGACTTCGCGAGACTAATTGTTAAAGAACCTGGTTAAAACCCCTCAGTACTGCATATGGGTATGGCTAGTTTATACATTCAGCTAGTTCATGCGAATCCACATTCTGCCGGCGTGCAAAGATAAGGCCTCTGTGAGCCATCGAACCCATATTGTAGAAAGTTCGTACAATTAGAAACAGACCATTGGCTTCATCTGTGAACAAAATCTGCTCGGTATTGATTTGTAGGATCATCAGATGAATCCTCTTGACGTGATTCATTGAAAGTCTTAGAGTTAGGGGACTGATCCACCCATATCTGTTTTCAGTTGTCTCAAGAGTTGTGAATTAACCGACAGCAAAACGTATTGCTAGTCTGTTCTAACGACTTACTTTTTTGCTGTAAATTAGGGTCGATTTGAAAGACCATCCTTAACAAAAATTTTATTCCGTGACGATTCTTATTATAAATCGTTCACATATGCCAAGTGTCGGAACTACCGCAAAACGGGAATAAATATGCTAATTCTCAGTTAAAAACGAAGGTCAGGAAAAGACAGATCTGAAACTGATCGCGCTGGACACCCTCGCCAGAATACTGTCTTTCGTCCGTCAGGCAATTGGAATGGGCCATCGCATCTCGCGAAATGAAATGCATTGATCACGGGGCTCTAAATTCTATAAGCAACTGAATAGTAATTGGTCATCACACGACAAGGCTTTAATTCGTCTATGATCGTCATTTGCTGTTCAGATTTTGGCGGTTCTCAAGAGTATTGATGTAAAGCAATCACACTTTTATTATCACAGGTGAGATATACCATTCACAGGGGCAGGAAGTTGTATCCGTCATGAAGTGCGACCAATTATTCTGTGCAATCAATCAAAATTCATATGGGTACCTTGCCCTAGAATTACGATCAGTCAACTTTCATTCATTTGGTTTATCAAATGTCTCTTCCTTTTTACTTCCCGTCACTTCAATACGTTTGACCAAAAAGTTTATCTTTCCCTGTCAATGAAATTGATCTTTCTCCAAAATGGAGCGATTTTTAAGAACCACATATGAAAGTACCTCCTAAAAAGACCATTACTAATGAGTCGGCTGTGATGAAAAAACATGCACGCATCTTAGGAGGACGACATGTTTAAATCACAGGCAATATGAGCCCCTTGTTGATAATGTA